CAAAAATCGCTGTCTTCAAAAATCGCTGTCTTCAAAAATCGCTCTCTTCAAATGGTCTTCAAAAATCACTGTCTTCAAAAATCGTCTGAAAACCAAACTACTCAAAGAAATGTAGTTTTCTATTTAAATATTTTTATAATTTTGAGAACCTTCTTATGAGTTTTTGGGTAGTATATTAGTCATTGTTATTCTTATTTGTCATTAGTAACTCTTGAAAATTGTCTTTGAAAAGCCTCCTTTGGAGAAAGTCAATAAAGTATGTATGTATGTTAGTATGTATACCTTCTCGTAGCCACAAATCTTTCCCCCATCACCCTTTTACTCAACAGGTGATCATCTACTATTCTTTGCCGGTACTTTCCCTCTCCCCCTTAAGCTCCAATAATCCAAAAGGATGGTCAACTGTTGACGAACACTGAAAAAGGTGAAACTGATGTGGGTACAGCAGGTAATTTGGTCTATCAACTAAGTTCAAATTGTAAATTAGTCACCATAAAGAGTTAAAAAGCTGACGTTTCGAGCGTTAGCCCTTCGGCAGAGCAAATGGACAAATTGTGGGTTGTGTGTGGGTTTATATGCAGAAAGTGAAGCTACGCTATTGATGGGTGCAAGGCAACGAGAAAAACACGAGTAAATTATTAGAATGAAAAGCGTTCGTTGATACCTGTGAGATTAAGAATGCTGATTTGGAAGATGAACTTTTTTTCGATAGTTTTGCGGTTCTCTGAGTTACCTAAATGTAAGGAAAGACCGCAAATTGCGATATGTTGCTTGGAATGATTAGGTAGATTGAAGTGTCTAGCGACTGGTTTTGATGCGTCCTTGTCATTCCTTTCTACATCGCGAATGTTTTAAATGCGCCCGCGTACGATGCAAAATTTGTCCTTTCATTCACAATGCTGAAAAAATATCGGGACCCAAAAGCCCCATTAAGATCACTGATCACCTCACGTGCACCTCAGCCAACGTCATCTACTGCATAACTTGCACTTATTGCACAAAGCTATACATCGGCGAAACAGGAGGACGACTAGGTGAGGCCTACTCTGGGGTCTTAAGTCGCCGTAACTTTGGGCGAGTTTGAGCGATTTAAGGCCACTTAAGCGAAATTGGCAGAAAAAACATCGCGACTTTAGGCGATTTAAGGGGACTTAAAGGGATTTTATTTGACTGAAGTGATAGAATTAAAGTTAGCAACAGTCTCTCCCTTAACCTTAAAAATATTTACAAAATCCCTTGCAATAAACATCATAGTCAATTTGATTACTTTTGTATGCTCATAAGTCACCATAGTCTAAAATATCCAGATTTCAAACCTATTTAGCTAAAAATAATTAGAAAGAATTACCACACAGGGCCCGCGGAGCGATTTTCAAGTGGGGGGGCTACTGCGAACGCTTTAGCGTGAGCCAACTAGGGGGTTCCGGGGGCATGCTTTCCCGGGAAAATTTGAAATTAAAGTCTTCTGAAATGGCTAGAAATGGATCTAAAACTGCCAAAAGTAAAGTTAAATTTTAATTCTTATAAAACAACGAGTAACAAAATGGCCTTCACGTTTGACTAAATTTAAATGAATAGACTAGCTTCTAAGTATAAAAATACTAGTGATTTAATCAGCCAAAAAAGTGGGGGCTAAAGCTCCCCCAGCCCCACCCTCTGCGCGGTCCATGCCACAACAGTCATTGTTAAATCATACAGTCAAAGCTAGTGAATGAATAGCCGGGAAAACAATTCAGCTTAAAATGTTTAGATAGAATTACCACAACAGTTATTGTTAAATTATACAGTCAAAGCTAGTGAATAAACAGCCAGGAAAACATCATGGGTTATATGCCCAACATAAAACAAACCAATTAAAAATATACACATGAAGACACACATTTTAAATTTAAGAAAAGAGACTTGATTTACATAAAACTATCGATAAATTTTCCACATAATTAATTAAAAGTAACTTCATTATTAAAGCCTCACAAATTATAAAAAATTGTAAAAATTATAAATTATAAAAATTATAAAAAATCTTGGTAAGCTTGTCTCCCATATTCTTGCCACTTGCACCGTCAATTTTGGAATGAAAGTTTGGCAAGTCGCAGGCCTTTCCAACAGCATCCAAAATTGCTCGGTCCTTTTCAGGGACCCAACCAATTTGTTGTTCTCCTGCCTCAGTTAAACAAAACACTCCAATACCATACTGAGAACCATATGCTAAGGTCTTTCTCCACTGTTCAACGGATCAGCAGGACCTTTCAAGCATTCAAGTTTTATTTTTAGCCTGGTGGCAGTACTACACGTTTAAAAGCATTCATTGCCTCACAACTGTCCAGAAACTAACGAGTCATGACAAAATTCTTCAAGCTGATATGAACTGGTTCTAAAGTCTCCGCCATTTAAATTCTCCAAGCAACCTTTGCGCCGCTAACTAGTTTCCATGCTTCGAAGTTAGGAGCGGGACAACATTATAGGGCTTCTCTCGCCAAGTACGCCCATTTCATTGAAGCGGTCGCCCAGTTAAACTTTCAGAATGAATTTTTTTAAAGCTTTTCGATTATTCTTTTTTTTTTGGACAAATAAACTAATTGTTCCTCAGTACACTTTTCAGTAGACTCGCGTGCGTGTTGTTCTCACGTGCACTTTGGTCACGCGAAAAAACTTAAGTCACGTGATCAAATCTTTCTGGCGGCCATGTTTGCCGTAAAAGGCTTTTCTTGACTTAGAAGTGGTTCATGTATGTTTATCATCAAACTGACGAGGATGAAATGTACAAAAAGACTATAAAAGTCTCAAGATAGATAAATATTTACATCTTTAGTAGGTTCGTCCACAGGCAGCCCAAGCTCAATGTGATTAATACATGTGGTTTCATATTGCGTAATTTAAATGGCCATGAATATAAAGGATTTCTTAGGGATTTCAGGTAAACGGTTCAAGTTGATAATACTCACTAGAATTATCAATAAAATACAGCTTACCGTATCTACGTTGCTTGTATTTACTTTCTGTTTGGTTATTTTCCCGATCCATTGCGATTTAAGCGATTTCCTTTAAGCCCGAGTTTCCTTTCAGTTGATTACAGTTTCCAGCTACCACTCTCACTAAAATTGAGGTTAGTAAATACCGCACAGAAACCAAAAAAATGAGGAAAAGAACGAAATCTGAGTACTCCAAGACTTGCGGATTCCGTACTTTAACTCCATCTAGGCCAGCTAAATCATGCCGGTATAATTTTGGGTATAATGCTGTTTGTCAGTGCATCGTGCACATATAATGTTAGCATAATGGTTAAAATTTTTAAAATTTCCCCTGGACAGTCACAGATCAACAAGAGTAAAATTCTGTAGCCTGAGCACGGTCAACAGTTAGCCTGCTTGTCTAGCTTGCACCTTAGCAATTTAATCTAGTAATTATAAAATGTTGTGTTCTGAACTTCCGTAAGCTTTTTATGCTTAGCAAGTTTTACTTGTTGGTGGTAGGAATGGGAGGCGGGGGAGGTTGTGGGGGTTTTAACTTAAAAGCTGTCATAAGCGTGATGAAATATTCTCAGCATAATTTTCGACCAAAAGATCATAATCTCTTGTGCCGGCATAATGCCAAGTTTTCAGAGGTGACGCTCAAAAGAGCAATGCTCAAACTTTCCGGAGCATAATTTCTCTGACCCTTCTACTACTGAGTTGTGCTTTTCTATTCTCCATGGGGCACTCATATTTGTTTCCTTGTCTCACGTTCGTGATGAAAAAACGAATAACATCTGTGTTTATTCCATGACTTTGCTCAAAATTTACCATCTTCCCTATTCGAAAAAATGGCAATAACATAAAAAATATATTGAAAGGGTATTAATAAGACTAACAATAATAGTAATAGAAATGATAATGATCAATCATAACAAGAATTTATAATTATGGCGGCTTTTTATTTATTTATTTTTTTAAGTCTATTCATTTTGTTTATCCCATGGAGACTTATTAAGAGTTCAGAATCCATTTGGACAAAAATCTCCTTCAAGTTGATAAAATTTTGTATACATGTATACGTGTGCCCGTCTATCACGTTCAATTTAGGTTGACATTTTCAACCCTTAGTAGTCATATAATAAAATGCTTAAAGACTGAGTTTAGTCGGGCCGGACAGGAATATTTGGTTCGCGTACGTCATGACCTCGAGCCAAATATTCTCCCGTCCGGCCCTCCCACTCAGTCAATAAGTACTCAACATATTATATAGCTAGCAACGCTCGTGGGCAATATGAGGCGAATCTTTGTTCTTATTGGTATGTTTAACATCATATTGTTTTCCATGCTTTTATTCTCCAGATGATTTCATTTATTTTTTAGTTATTGGTACAAAAGGTTCTTTGACGGAGTTTTGATGTTTTATTAAGCTCACACTTGTGCCGCGGGAGATTTATTGTACACTGCCGGAAACTTGAAGCAGCAAAGTAAATAAATCGCCCATAGTGCTTTGGCAAGAAAAACCACATCTTTTAAAAGAAATATGCTTTCGGCGGGGAAGACTTTTGTTGGAAAGGCAAACATGGTTTTCCATTTTCCTCTTTACGGCATAAACAGACGCAACTTGAATAAGATCCAAATGCAAATATGTATTGCAATGAACTTTATAATTTCCGCTATTTCTGCTTGACACTTAAAGAAAGTTCAATTTGTTTGCAAATTCTACGCTATCGGCTCTTATTTAAAAAACAGACGTGAACCGCGGAAATATGTCTGTCTGACAACTTTCGGCGTCAAAGAAAACTTCGCAGCCAGTTTCATGGGAAGATTAACAAGTGCTTGTAGAGAACCATCCCTCGTTCGTACATGCTAGGTTTAGCACGCTTCTGAATACTTTCCGGAGGAAATTTGTTGCGGACTTCGTTTCGTATTTCTTGACTCAGAATTTGGATTAATAAGCTGACAGTTCACTGATTAACTTCTCTTGGCCCGGTTGATCATCCGGAAGAGTTTCATTTAAGTTTGCAATCACGCCTTTCTACAGTGACAATGGATTCCGCCGCAGAAACTCAGTTCAAGAACGCTTTTCAGATTCTTGACGCAGTATTCTTGGCCCTCGGGCTGGCAAGCAATCTCTTCGTCTGTTTTATTATGACTCGGTGCAGCTTGGCGAGGAAAAGTATCTCCAATTTTTACATTCTCCAACTCTCTGTGACGGAAGTTGTTTACAGAACAGTTCTGGCTGCTCTGAAAATCTACACTGTAAACGGGAAACGTCATTTGATTTCGGACACTGAATGCAAAATATTGATTCTTTGGCCAGAGGCAATGTGTGCTGCTATTTTTATTCTTCTCGCTGGAATCGCCATGGACCGCAAAAAACACATCATAAATCCCTTAAAGGCTATGGCAATGGATAAACACCGAAAGACAAGGATTGTTTTCATTTGGTTATTTGCACTCACTATATCTATTCCCACCTCTTTAACTGCTAGCGTCAACCCAAGATTGCAGCTACAAAATAGCACCGAAGAACTTCTACTTCTTTGCCTTCTGCCACGTGGCCAGTTGTTAAGCAAAATCTCATTCACTATCTACTCCTTGTTCGGTTTTGTTGTTCCATTAGCAATAATATTACGATCTTATTACCAAATATATATTTATCTACGAGAAAGGGCTAAAACGCGAAAATTAAATGCGTCTTACATAAGGTCCAAATACAGAGCCCTGCGTATGATGGTCCATATCATTCTTAGTTTTCTTTTGAGCTGGGGACCTGTCATGTGCAGCACTCTTGCAACAGTTTACGGTGCTACAGTTCGAATAGGAGATATTTCAGTCAAGCACATTACAATTTGTATTTCGTTAACTAGTTCTATTATTAATCCAGTGATTTATTCATTTGGAAATGTAAATTTTCGATCCGAGGTTGTCAGGACATTTCGAAGTTTCATTTTGAAAGTGCGCTGGCAAAGAGACTTAAGATAGGAAAAGGAAAAAAAAAACTGACGCTGTACTTTCAATTAGCTATAAAGTTGGTTGAGGAGTGGGGTGAAGTTTAGCTACTTCTGTTTTTCAAAAAAGTATTAGTGAAAAATATTCAAAGAGGAAAGAAAATTTTCAGCAGCGGCAAATGAGAACCTAAAGTAAAAATGCGCAAACTGCCAGAAGCGCGGGAAAACGCGGGTTACCAGGTCGCAACTGATTGGTTTAAATTTTGAATCTGATTGTGGCGCGAGTTTTCTGAACCAATCACGAGACGAAATAAAGCAAAATAATTAGTCCTGAATAAGTATAGACATTCAGTTGAAAACTACTCTATTTCAACCCGTGGCTGATAACACAGAAAAAAATTATCCTCACCGATGAATTGCAATCTAAGAGATTGCTGAAAATTATGCCAGTGGAAAAAAAAAAACAAAAACAAAAAAAAAAACTCAACTTTGACGGGGGATTCAAACCTGTGTCTCACAAGTAATATAAACAGAGCAGGCGAAGGACACTGTGATATATAGCTTATGTAAACATACTTCAATATAGAGCATGTACAAATGTTTTAAATACATAGCTTAGGACGCTTACAAGAGAACTTTTAAAACTGGCAAAATTTAGATAAATGAGACGTTAAACGTTTGTCTCATGATGTAGAGTCAGGCCATCACGCTCTTGAACGTCTCAATTACTATACCGCTACTCTTCATCAGGTGACGAAGTCAAAAGTATACGTATGATATTTAAAGTACCTTAGTTTACTGTTATTTGCGTGTTTTGGCGCGTTATTATTGGTGCTTTTCGATCCTAATTATTCAGATTCCCGGCGATTACTAGATGTTGTTTCCCTATAGGTCCGATTCCTGACTGATCAGTTGTTTTGCTTTTTTGTCGTTGTTAAGTTGCCATCCAAGCTTCGGAAACTACGATTTCGTTGTCTCTTTGGATTTAAGATGTTATTAATTAGTACGAAAGCTTATGTGGATGGCTTCCTTTAACCCTAAGTGAACCTAAACCTAACGCGTCCTATTTCATTGCATATGTAGATGACACTTTTACCATCTTAGACCGAAACAATGTTGACGGCTTATTACAATGTTTATAATTAGTCGAGAATGATAACTCCATTCCCTTGCTTGACACGTTCTGACCCAAGAAATCAGTTTAGAACCTCTTGCTTGGCCGTGTTAGCCTGAAAAGGCTGAATGGATCCAAAATTTCCGGTTAACTACTCTCTTTTATGCGCGAATCCCTTTACAGGAAAACAACCTCTTCTTTGAGGGGTCAGTATGGCCTGTTGGTGGACTTCTTTTCCGCTAGATATTTGATGAATTTCCTCGATTAAGAAATGATATCCCTGGCCGATTAGGCCGCCCAGTTGTTAAACTGCGCAGATAACGCAATACAACAGATAAATCTTCGTCATCTAGTAGAAAAGTGTTAACAAAATGTCCTGCGCTATCCACCAAGAGATTTATCTGGAGGAGAGCTAGCGTTAATCACCCTTCGAAAAACTGGAGTCAGAAGACTTCTCTCGTTGGTTAAGTGACCTCGTCTTTTGATCAAATTATTTATTCTTGTTGGCCAAATAACTTCTTCTGTTGTGGAAATAAATTCTCTTGCTGGTAAAATAACTTCTTCCGTCGGTCAAATCACTTTTCTTGGTGACGAGGTGTAACCTTTTCCCGGTGGTTATAAAACAACCTGTGCTCCTAAAGAACAGGTACGAGTGCGAGCAATCGCGTAAGCCGCGGTAGTTCTATCGCAAAATGGACGTTATTTTGACGCTTTGTGCTTTAATGTCAACTCTCGGTGTCCTCAATGAAGCAGCGAAAGGTATTTGGGATAATTTAAGCCAATGGTGATACGCCCAGGAGGCGGATTCCATTTCCTTAGCTTTTAATAGTTCTTAGTATGTAGTATCAAAAAATTCTGCTACTAACAGAGGAACCAACTAAAAGTACTTCTAGTATTTTTGCTGCCTTTTTCCAAGTTTGTTATATTGATCCCTGACTCTATTTCAAACCAAATAAGCTTTCTCTTTTTTTAAGTATTAACCGAAATTGATGGATAAAAAAATATTAAAGCTGTCGCATTTTTTTTTTTTTTTGCGATAACGTACCTGATTTACAAGAAGCCTTTTAAAGAGGATCTTAATGGGGCGACGATTTTTACGGCTAACGGGTAAAATCTTTGCTATTTTACGGCTAACCCTTCATTTCTTTCCATTACGTTTAAAGTCCAATTTCGTCTAGTAAGTTTTTCTGCCGTTTTACGGCTAACGGTTAATAACAGTAAGACCTTCTTTAAATGTGTTTAGAGATAAATTAAATAATTGCAAGGACGGAAGAAAATCCCTAAAGAAAGATGCTATTTTATGTTTCACCATTATAGTTCGCGAGAACACATGAACTAGCAATCATTCCGAGTGTTACTCTATGCGAACACGAGTAGCAACCGTGGAGAAATCCGAAGTATCAGTAGCAACGGCTCTTAAATGGTGTTGAAGACATGTTCTAAGAGGTTGACTTAAACGACATTTAAATTTTGCAGATACTGTAAGTCTTGTATTTAAACTAAAACTAATCACGACTAGATTACACGCTTCCTGCTTTTCAATTTTAATTTTTTTTTAACCCTGCAGAATTACATGTAGTCAAAATTTTGAATAAGGACTTCCGCTGACAACTAAAGAAGCAACTAAATACATAGTGCAAGGAGAAAGGTGAAAAATATAAATTAGGGTATATAGTCTGATTTAACACCGAATTCTCTTCTAAGGTGCAGGACTGCAAAAAAAAATTAATAATAATAACAAAGAAAAAATAGCGCATTTGTTATGTGCCTCGTTCATTTATTCACTAAATTAATTATCCACTGTCTTACACCTCATTCAAATTACCCAAATTCCCAGAGGGAAAATTACAAGAAATGTATGGCAGACAGTAAGAAGAATTTACATACTTTGTAATTGATCTTGAGAGTGAAATTGGTAATAAAATGAATGCTCTTCCCTTTGGTCCAGCTATGTCTGTTTTTGTTTGCGAAGTGTCCACTTTTATGTCTCTTGTCTCTTCCTGTATGCACGTGACGTAAAAACCAAACACTGCGAACAAGAGTTGCAGGCTCACATAGTCTGGACCAATGTCGTTTATCACGCGACCGAACACTCCACAGGATTGATTACAACCAGATCGTAAACACGGCCACAACATACAATCTCTGTCGGTGAAAGACCGATAATGTCACAAAGGACAATGGCTAACAAAGGCAGTCGAAATAGTACCATGAGCCAGGAATTAAACCGGTAAATCCAGATCGTCGACGGCCTGTTTGGTCAGCCTGGCATACACTGTAAAACGGCTCAGTAAACGAACAAAGAACCTCATCAGGTCTACATATATGTCTGTGGCTTCGATATGTCTAAGCGAGATTTGACGCGGAGAGATGATGGCTTAAATGATGCGAGTGAGCTGAATAAGAAAATGAAAGCTACGGAAGATGAACTGACGCAGACTAAGATGATGGTGGTAGAGCGATAAACTTTCAGTCTATAGTAAGTATAACCTGCGAGCTCCTCCGGGATCATTAATGGAATTCGCATCACATACTCAGGTACACTGTAGGAGCTTACGTTACCACAATCGTTTGTTCCATAATTTCAGTCAATTTTGTGGACGTATAATTGAAGTATGTGTAAATATCATAGAAGTGTAACGTTGCTAGGAAACGAGGCTAGTCTCGCCCCAGGACAAAAGAAGGGGAGCGGGAAAATCGGGTCGGCCATCTTGTTGTGTCGATGTAGTGTCGCCATCGCTAATTGTATTAAAGGAGGTTTATTAAACGTTACACTGGTGGCAGCGGTGGGATAAGGACGAAATGACTTCGAGGGAAATGCTGGA